CACTCGGGGATCCTGAAGGGTCTGGGGGACACATGGGACATATGGGGGGCGATCCCGGGGTTCTGGGGAGCGCAGGGCATATTCCCAGTCCCTCCCAATTCCTTCCAGCATGATCCCATTTGCTCACAACCACTCCCAGTCAGCCTCAGTGGAGTTGGACTCCCTGCCAGTATGATCGTATTCACCTCCAGCATGATCCCAGTTCATCCCAGTGTAAGTTCAGTTGCTTCTAATCAACCCCAGTATGCACACAGTCACTCCCAGTTCCTGCCAGTTGCCCCTGGCATGATCCCAGTTGCTCACAGCTGCTCCCAGTCAGCCTCAGCATGATCCCAGTAGCTCCCAGTATATCCAATTTGCCCCCAGCCTGGACTCAGTTTTCCCCCACAGGCTCCTACTCACTGCCAGTATGATCCCAGTATGATATCCCAGTCTCCCTCAGTGTGATCGCAATCTCTCCTGGCATGGGCCCAGCTGCTCCCAGGATGATCCCAGTCCAAACCAGTCCCTGCCAGTGCTGCCACTCCTGGGATCCCCCAGCCCTCTCTGTGTTCCCCACTCCCGCATCTTCCCAGAGGAGCCCCAAGGGCTGGCAGTCCCCAGCCAGGGTCCCCAGCCAGCCCCAGGTTGGATCTGCAGCCCCCAGTTTTCCCAGTTTCCCTCTCCTTTTCCCAGGGCCAGGTTCCCCCTGCCCCCAGTGGGTGGGAGCAGCCGAGAGCCCCACGCTGCCCATCCCGACCTGTCCCAGCTCCATCCCCACTCCTGCCGTGGGCTGTGAGGGGTTTGGGAACGGGGCACCGAGGGTGTCGCTGCTCCTGGGGGAGGAGGAGGAGGAGGGATGGAAGAGGAGGGATGAAGAAGGAGAGTGAGAAGGGATGGAAGTAGGAGAAGGAGGTGGGGTTAGGGAGGAAGAGGAGGAGGATGGATGGAAGGGGAGGAGAGGGAGGAAGAGGAGGGACAAATGAGGATCAGGGAAAGGAGAAGGAACCACGAGGTCAAGCACTCCCCTAATTCATAGCCCCTCACCCATGTGGGATCATCACCCCCCATCTCACAGGTGACCGAGGAGGGGGAGCCCAGCCCAGATATCCTGGGGGGTTCCTGGGTTGGATTTTTTTCAGGGGGGATATTTAACAATTAAGGACTGCAAAGCTGAGCAGAAAATCCTACTTGGTGGGACACTGGGGGATCCCAGCATCCCTAAGAGGGGAGATGGAAACAGGGGGAGCTTTTCAGATTCGTGGCACTCCCAGCAGCCTGGGGAGGGCAGGGACTGAGTAGGTGGGGAACCCTCAGTACAAGCGTGACCTCCAGCAGCTGGGACAGGGGGGAACCCCTGAACACCAAAGGGGAGAGACCAGAGATGGGGAACTCCTGGGAGGCATTTTCAGGGCTGAATCTTGGTGTTTGGGTGGTTTATATGGGCACCAGATGACCGGTGACTTCTAGAGATGGACTTGGGAAGGAGGAACCCCCTATTCCAATGTGCTCATGAACTGTATTTTTCCCCAAACCAGGATTTCTCATTCCCAAACCTTGGCTGGACGGAGAAGGAGGCTGTGAGGAAGAGGAAGATGTCCCAGGACACCCAGGCAGGTGAGGAGGAAGTCAGTGCCCCTTTCCCCCTCTCTCCTGCTCCATCTCCCAGCCCAGCATGGCCCCGGCTGCAGGACAACCCCGCTGCCGACGCGGTCCTGCTGGGGACGCACTGGTGGGATCTCCTTCCCCTTCCCTCTGGCAGGGAGGCAAATCCCATCCTCTCCTTGTCCTTCCTCCCCCAGACAAGGAGCTGAGGATGGAGACCAGGGAGGACAAATCCCCACGGCAGAACCTCATGGAAGAGGCTGTTTTGAGCAGCTCCACGGCAGAGGAATCCAACGGGGAAGAAAAGCCATGGAGATCCTGCAGGAGGAGGGGCTCCAAACCCATCCCAGGGTGCTCTGAGGAGGAAAGACCAACCCCGTGCCGGGAAGGCGGCCGGAGATCCAGCCAGGGCTCTGAGCTGGTGGTCCATGAGCAGCTTCAGGATGGGGAGAAGCCCTACAAGTGCTTGGAGTGTGGGAAGAGCTTCAGCCAGAGCAACAGCCTGATCTGCCACCAGATGATCCACACTGGAGAATGGCCCTACAAGTGTCGGCAATGTGGGAAGGGCTTGAGCTGCAGCTCCAAACTCATCATCCACCAGCGCATCCACCCTGGGGAGAGGCCCTACGAGTGTCCCGAGTGTGGGAAGAGGTTTCAGACCAGCTCCCATCTCCTCGTGCACCAGCGGATTCACACGGATGAGAGGCCCTTCCGCTGCCCCGACTGTGGGGAGGGCTTCAAGCAAAACTCCGCCCTTGTCACCCACCAGCGCACCCACACTGGGGAGAGGCCCTACAAGTGTCCCGAGTGTGGGAAGAGCTTCAGAAACAGCTCTAACTTGACCATCCACCAGAGGACCCACACCGGAGATCGGCCTTATGAGTGTGGGGAGTGTGCAATGACCTTCAGCCAGAGGTCCAAACTGATCATCCACCAGATGATCCACACTGGGGAGAGGCCCTACGAGTGTCCCGAGTGTGGGAAGAGGTTTCAGACCAGCTCAGATCTCCTCGTGCACCAGCAGATTCACACGGATGAGAGGCCCTTCCACTGCCCCGACTGCAGGAAGGGCTTCAAGCACAACTCTGCCCTCATCAGGCATCGGCGCATCCACACTGGGGAGAGGCCCTACGAGTGTCCCCAGTGTGGGAAGAGCTTCACACAGAGCTGTCACTTGACCAAACACCAACAGAGGCACCGGTAAGGGAAGCCCTGCAAGTGCCCCAAGTGCAGGAAGAGCTTTGTGCGCTGCCCCAGCTCCATTCCCCATCAGAGGACCCACGTTGAGCAGAGCTCTGATGACCCATGTTCCCAGTGATCTGTGTTGGCAACACACTGGGCTGGCGGTCATTCTATTTTTTTTTCAATTATCTTTTGATTCATCTTCATCCCTTTAAAACAGACAAATAGTGGTAAAAAACAACAAATTCATCAAAGGCATCTAAACACATTTTACTAGTGCTTCAAGGGATTCTGGGAAATACTTGGGAGTATTTGGGGGTTGTGGGCTTACTTAGTGGAGTTGTCTTCATTTCTTGTCACTCAAATAGACAAGAGGGTTCAATCTGTCACCTCAAAACCACTCAATGCCACTGAAAACTACTCAATCCCACACAAAATTACTGGATTCTACAGCCTCTCAGGGTGTGATGACTTAAGTTTTATCTTTCCTATTTTCAGTATTCTGCACTGCCTGCCTTTGTAGTTTCGAACTTCCTATTAAGTGTTAGTGAGCTCTCTTCACAGAGTAGGTAGACAAATCAATTACTTTTCCAGCTTGATACCGAGGACAATGATTACAAGTTCCAGGCCCAAAAGCATAAACAAGGGTGGACTGAAGAGAGAAAACAAGAAGGATGGGACTTCCTCATCTGAAGCTGTAATTGGACAATGAACCCAAATATGAAGATGGACCTAAACTTCTAAAAATGTGAGACCTCGTGATGTGTGTTTTTTTGTTTTTTTTAACCATTTTTGGTCCATCTTGTACTGCCCAAGGTGTATCCTTTAAGGCCTTTTAATAAACTTTATTCTTAACTCTGTCCAGCCACTGTTCTAGGTCAGCCTTCTGAAGGCATCAGGTGGAATGGGGTTGGAAGGGGATTGGGCAAAGTGGGATGCAGATCAGGGGGGTGAGATGGGCATAGGGTGGGGCAGGATGGGTGGGATGGAGTTTGGGAGGTGTGAAATGGGGGAAATTTGGCTTGGGAAGTGGGTCTTGATGTCCTGCAGGAGTGGGATGGGTTTGGCTTTGGATTGGGTTAGTGGGGTGAGGTCTGGAATGAGACAGCCAAATTTTGGGGATGATGAAGGGAGGGCGTGTCCTTTACTGAGTGAGTTTTTGGCTATTCTACGTTCCTGAAGAGATTTTGGGTATCTCACGTTTCTGAGGCAGTTTTGGGGCACTCCCCAGCTCTTGGGTATTCCTGAGAGCAGGTCCATGGAGCCCCATTGCCAGGGCTGGTTGCCATGGGCACGAGCTCAGAGCTGTAGCCGGAGTGCATTGCCTTGGTGCTGGAGAGCAGAGAAATGATGAATGGCCCCAGACATCTCCAGGGTGTTTGGGGGCAGAGCAAGTTCTGCCTAGGTGGGGTGGTCACTGCCCCAGCCCAGCCACTGCAGCCTCTGCTCCAGCCCCAAAGTGGCTGCCAAGCCCCTGGCACCCCGAAAACCCCAGCTGGGAGAGGGAGCAGAGCAGGTGAGGCTGTGACACGGGTGTGACACTGACACGTGCCACAGCCCTGGAGCTCACAGCAGTTGAGATGGCGCTGGATCCAAGGCTGGCTGTGGATCTCTGTCCCTCTCTCTCTTCCCCTGACTTCCAGTTTTCAAAATCTGGATAGCTTGAAGTTGGATGGGTTGGACGAGTTGGCTCAGTCAGTCCTTAGTGAAGTGATTTCCTCTAATTACATGCAGATTTATGATTTCCCGAGTACCTCATTCTCTAAAGTTTGCAGCTAAAAGTTTGTTTCCCCCCTCCTGAGAAGTTTGTTGTTTTCTCCCATGCACTGCCCGAGGGGATCGAGGTCCCTCAGGTCCCTTTCCAGCAGGGGCCGAGCGAGCTTGGGGCACAGCACAGGGAACTGCAATGCTGAGCAAGCCCTGGCTGGGTTGGAGGAAGCAGAAAGGCCAAGCCCTGAGCCCAGGCCTGGCACAGCAGGGCCTGTCCCTCACGGGTGGCTCGGGGCTCTTTGTGGGGCAGTGGGATGTGAGGGGCAGCAAGGACAAATGCCATAAACCTGCAAGCCCTGCCAGCCTCCTCCGGGAGGGCCAAGGGAGGAGCAAAGGCCTTCCTGGTGCTGTGCCCTGGGCCAGGAGGGATTGTGCCAGTGGAGTTAACCTTAAATTTCTTCTCCCAGGCAGCTTTAGCACATGGAACATGGAGAAGCCAGAGCCAACTCTCAGCTTTCCAGAGTCCTCCAGTAGAATCCTGTGTGGGGAGCAGCCTGGGAGCAAGGTTTGTGTGTCAGGGGAGGGGAATTCAGAGCCCTTTTCTCCCCCATGGCCTGAGGGTCTGCATTTTCAATGGCCCTGCAGCTGCCAAAGGGGCCTTTTTCACCCAGCTGAGAACAGTTCTGCTGATAGCCTGTCCTAAACCTGATTTTCCTGCAAATGTGCCTATGAAGCCTCATTTTTTACAGCCGCAGGTCTTGTGTGCATGCCGGTGTCTCAACTGAAGGGTGGAACAGCTCTGCCAGGTAGGAGTTCTCTTTTTCGTGGTGGTTTCTATTTTTATTTTTTTTAATAATTATCCCCCCTGTCAGCTCTGGACAGAGCTCTGTAACTGTGTGTGACACTTGTCTGTGGCACTGTGGGGGTGGCCAAGGGGACCTTCCCCGAGCTGTCTGCAGAGGAATCCACAGCAGCCCAGGCCGGGGGTGCTCAGTGGCTGCTCAGTTCTGCTGACTGGATGCGGCTCTGGACGCTTCCCTTGGAGCGTCTCCAGGGAGGGAACGCTGGGGCTGTCCCGGCTGTGGTGTCACTGCCAGGGGAACGCTGAGGCTGCCCCACTCCTGCCCCACCCCATCAGTTCTGCCAGCGCCTTCAAGGGACACAAAGGCTGAGCCAAAGGGTGAGAGTTGCACAAGGGGCTGAGCTGGGATCTGGGATCCATTGGGATCATCGAGTCCAGCCCCCAGCCCTGCACAGACACCCTGACAATCGCAGCCTGTGCATCCCTGACAGCGCTGTCCAAAGGCTTCTGGAGCTGCGGCAGCCTCAGGGCCGTGCCCGTTCCCTGGGGAGCCTGGGCAGTGTCCCAGCCCCCTGTGGGGGAAGAAGCTTTTGCTGATCTCCAGCCCAGCCCTGCCCTGGCCCAGCTCCAGCTGTTCCCTCGGCTCCTGTCCCTGCTCTCCTGGGCAGAGATCAGAGCTTGCCCAGAGAAGCTGTGACTGCCTCTGGATCCCTGGAAGTGTCCAAGGCCAGGTTGGATGGTACTTGGAGCAGTCTGGGATAGTGGAAGATGTCCCTGCCATAGCAGGGGTGGAATGAGATGAACTTTAAGGTCACTTCCATGCCAAGGCATTCTGTGATTCTGTGATTTTGGGAGAGATGCTGAAGCTCTGGCTCAGCTTTATCTCAGCGAATGTCTGGACCCAGCAGCAGCCATGGGTGGGATCATCTCCTCCTCCCTCTCGCTGTGGCTGTAACTCACCCAAGGGCAGTGTCATAAATGAAATTGAAATTTGGACGACTAGGGCTATTGAGTTAACAGCAGTTTAATAACAAGAAAAAAAATGATACAATTTAGTGAATTGAATACAAGAATACAATTTAGTGGATTGAACAGCAATTTTATATAGAAGGAATACAATTTAGTAAAAGATTACAATTTAGTGAATATATTCATATTCACAAAATTCACTATCCACTATTTATATGTATGAATATATATATGAATATAGCTTGCCAGTAAATATGATTAAAGCATAAGCAAAACTGACTGAGGTACTGAGAGGGCTTCTCACCCCACCTCAGGCACAAAACAAAGCAATTCAAACTAAACTTATATACTGTATGCTTCTACATATTCATTCATGTTTCCAGTAAGTCTCCTCCAATTTCTGATTCTTTAATTTTACATCACTGTTCTTCATGGTGCATGCTTCACTTGTTGCTAGGGCATCTTCAGTCTTCTTTTGGTGGTCTTTTGGATGAAGGCTTACACTCATCCTCATTGTCCTCTGGATAACCTTACAGGCTGTGCATGTGTCCTAAGCATTGTGTTATGTAAGTAAGCATTGTGCTCCACTAATTAGTCTTCTATTTTATAATTTTCAGGCCCTATGCCTAAAGTCGTTCCAACTTTATCCATCTCAAGGTCAATTTTTTCTTGGGACATTTCTTATCTCAAAACTACATCCTGTACCTTAATTTTAACATGTAACATCTGTAGAGGGCTACATCTGCCTTGTAACACAAATTCCCTTGATTGCTCCTAATAATAACTTTCCAAATAGTTACAATTTAGTTAGGACAAATCATTTCCATTTATTACAGGAGGGTGTGAAAACAGGAGCATTGTTTGGTGTGGCCTCCTCTCTGCCTTTCACACCTTTCAGTGCTTTGACCCAGCCAAGAGCTTTCTCCAAGAGTGCAATGAAGGAGCTATTCCTGCTCCCAGCTCTGGCTCTTCCCAGTCTCTGACCCTGACTGGTTTTGTCCCTCTTGCTATGCCCCCTGTTCCCCCAGGGGCCTGCCCCAGACTGAGGGATCAGATCCAGGCACTGCTGCTGCTCCCTCGGGACCAGCCACAGTTTGGTTGTTGCTGTCGGTGCCAGCAGAAGCCGTGGAGCAGCGGGTGCTGACAGTGCCCCAAGGCCCGGGGCTGGAGGGGTCCCTGGGCTGGGGCTGGGAGGGAGCTGCCCCTTGTTCTCCCTCTGCCTCACGCAGAGCTGGGCCGGGCACAAGTGGGGCAGCAGAGCCAACAGGGAGCCTGCGAGTCTCTTCCAGCCGTGCCTGCTCAGAGTTTGGCCTTGGAGCTTCAGGTGGGCAAAGGCAGCTGCTCTGCTCCCTCTGCGTGTGCCCGTGTTCAGCAGTGCTGCTCCATCAGTCTGTGCCCAGCAACGGGGAAAAGCCTCAGCCCTGCAGGGCCAGGAGCTGCCGGGCTCTGCCTGAGCAGCTCAGCCAGCGGGAAGGGAGCTGCTCCACGCAGGAACCAGGAGCAAAGGACATGCCTTTTCTAGGACATGTTTTCTGTAAAAAAACAAACAAAAAAAAATCACGAAAAAAATATGAAAGATAAAAATTACCCCCAAATGTGTAGTGAAAAATGATCTACAACTCTGGAGTAAGAAAGAGGTAACTGATTTTTTTGAAAAAGGGAATTCAGCTTTGATTTTAGTTACTTAGTTTGTACGTGTGCTAGTGGAAAGGATGCATTAGCTGCCTTCCTTTACAGATTTGATGTTTTCTAATATCAAGATATTTTACATTGCAGTTAAAGGAATAGGAAATTGAAATACATGTTCTTCATGACTGTGTCTTGAGTGTAAAGACTTTGCAGCTTGAAACTTGGACCTAAAGCGTTGCAAAAAAGGACTGCCCAGGGGCACAGGCACATCCTCTGCCCGGCGAGTGATCTCAGCTCAGCGGCA